TTGGAGTGTGAGCAGGGTAATATTTAGTGAAGGGATTCAGGGAAACCGGTTATTTTATATAACCGGACTTGAGTCCTGGAAATGGGAAGTACAATGCCAGCACTTTAAAGGAGGTGTTTGGGATATTTTCAGTTTGGAGGGATATGTTGTGTATCTTTATACGTATATGCTTCTAAACTGTTGTATTCTGAGCACCTCTGTAAAAACAGTGATTATGTGTGAGTGAGGTGAAAGTGTTGAATGATGAAAGCATTTTCTTTTTGGTGATTTTCCTTCTTTTAGGGTCACCCTGCCTCCGTGGGAGACGGCCGACTTGTTAAATAAATAAATAAATATATATATATATATATATTATATATATATATATATATATATATATATATATATATATATATATATATATATATATATATATATATATATATATATATGTTGTAGTTAAAATGACAAAAAAAAATCCCTTTCCAATAAAAGGAGCATATTTCTTTCCTTTCATTTGTATAAATGAGCAAATATTTGTCAAATGTGTTTAGGAAAAAACAAACTACTGTACCTAAAAAATAACTGTCCTTGTTGATTATACAGATACATTTATAACAAGGGAAATATTAGCCTTCCTGCCTGTTTAAATGAATCTAGATACAGCACTTCTTGATAAATTATCCAGAACAAGACAACCCATCTAGCTCATGTCAACCTGGCCGAAGATAAACAATTGAATATGAGAACATCAAGTCTTCGTAACATACATTGGACACATACATGTCTACATAGCAGATACACAGTTCCCAGTGATATTAGAAATTAAGTCTTATGTATAAATGACACTGAAATAAGATGTTACACTGATAGATGAAGCCATCCTGAAGTGTCTGTTTCACATTAATAGTACTGTATTATTAACTATTAATAACAAACAGCCATGAGTATTGCCATTCAGTCATACATACTCAATAATTTTATGTACAAAACTAATGTTGAAGAATATGCTAATAATAGGGAAATTGTACTAAAGTAGTGTATTGTATAAAACAAGCCATAGGAGTAAGAGGCTACAATATACACTGAGCGCTATTGAAAGGACCAGTTTCATGAATCTGAATCCTGAATCCACATCTGAATCTATATTCTTTATCTGAATCCCCTTCAGTTTTATACTGCTGGATATCTAAATATAGGTGCTTCATATTTATGCTTTGAGACTACGATGACATAGATCAATTTGTAGCTTCTCTTCTAGTCAGGTACACTGTCAACACAGTCATTATTCATTAGCCATATTCACTAAAAAAATAATAACCTGCATCATAATTAGAAATAAGTTCACCTATTTTTCTCTATACAAGATACGTAAAGGATTAATTAGAACCGTATCAAAGAATTTTTTCACTCGGGTAGTTATACAGTAAAGCAAGTCAGAATTCCCAACATACTCACCCTAACTTGAAAAAGTAAAGACTTAAATATCATACATTGTTCATCTTTGGTATATTGCAAAATCATACAGGTAGTAGTACAGGAAATCTTATTTAATCAGATACACTCATACCACACATATTGCAGACTGTCTCTGTATACACAAATTTTTTCTAATTCACAATAGTGGCAAAAAAGTATTCTACTTTCCCTTAGAGATAATCCATTTCATACACTTTAGATATATACATTAAAAATTCTTCCATGAAAGGACAAACACAGATTAGCTACAAAAAAATATCCTTTCATCATAACACCTGCCATTTTCCTTTGCGACTTTTAAAGTTTCATTTATGTATTGACCATCACATTTCAAGTATATGTACATCATCAGGTCTGGTCATTGATTAGGGAGAGAGACGTTTCACTGAAGACATCTGGCTTCTGGCACAAGACTTAATTCTAGTAGTGACCATGTCCCTTCTCAATCCTTGGAAACTCCACTACTTGTGTTCTATTGAAATTATAGTTCACATTGCACTTGCACACTCAGATTTGCATCTTTGGCATGTACCAAGTTTTTATCACCTGACAGTTGACAGTAGCACTAGTTTTCATGATATTCAGTAAACCAGTTTATCCAGCCAGGACCGTAGGACAGGACATTGTTTAACCTGACGACCAACTATCCCACATTAAGGCTGTTTCTTCTTATAAACAGCCTTCTCACCCACTTGAACTCTTAGGTGAAGGTTAGCAACAAACCCTGGAAACTTTTTGTATCACTCATAATGCATTGATGCAGTTTACTCACAGATTTAGTGAGCAAATTGCGAGGTGAGATGACGACGTGTTCCTATATAAATAAAGGTGTTTTGATTAAGTGTTTAATCATTCTTTATCATAATTATCATCGTGTAATCCTTAGAACATAATAAACTTCATACGACTGATGTATAACCTTTTATCCATTAAGTAACTAACTATGAAAGAGGTCACAGCTTGAATGCTTAACTATTTGGTAATCCCTTTTATAAATTAAGCATCAAGTAAATTTTTTTTTTAGCTAAATCAGGAGAGTTTAAGTTGCTGACTTTTGTTAGCCATTTACCTAAACAAAAGTCCATCCCTGAAGATTATTTCATTTCTAAACTAAACATTATCAGAGATAATTTTGACCAATAAACTTTAGTTTTGTACAAGTGCATGACTAGGTGAAAGTTTTGACTACCATCTTTTTTTCATTCAGTACTCTTACATATACATGTATTCATTTTCAAAACTTGAAATTAATTTGTGATACCTATTGGTGTCCATGTTATTAGAAAAATGCTTTACAAACATGACTAGGATATAGATACTTTGGTCTATTTTCTTTGGAGCAAAGTGCTGTATAGCCCTTGTGGTTTAGCACTTCTTTTTGATTATAATAATAATAATAATTTGGGGCAAAGTTTACAAAATATTATGATATAACTATAACAAATATCTGAAGAAGATCCACTGTGAGTGGAAACAAAAAAAGGTCTACCAGCAGTATGCAGTTGTTACTTGTAAGTGATCATGACATGGGATAAGAAAGAGCAAACCTTTCTTCAGTACACAGAGATGAGTAAATGCTATCTTGTTTATTACAGCATTATGAATGTTTTTATGCAATAATTTAGTCATCATTCCCTGTGGCTATACTGTATATCACATTGTCAGTATATTAAGAACAAATTATACAATATATTGTTGCTGCACTTTGTATATCACTGAATATATTTAAGTTCTGTCTGAAATATTAGACTAATATTTGTGTAATATAGAAGCATCATTTTTTATCAGCACATTGCATTGCTCTTTAGAAAAAGATACATTTGAGAAAGAAAGTAACAGGTTAAATTTTTTTATGATAATTTTATCCCCTGAAAAAAAAAAAAAGTAATGTCATAAGAAAAGTAACCATTTTGCATTCATTGTGTTCCAGCCTGTGAGCCATTGTCTATTTCCAAGTGACATAAAAAAAATGGTGAAATCACCTGACCTAGCTGCAGGTATGAGGTACAGTATTCTAGAATCTTTTCATTTAGGAATAAAAATAAACATGAAGAGAAGAGCTACTTTTTTTATGGTCGTAAAATTCTTAGCTTGGGGGTAGTTAGAAATGAGCACGAGTGCAAGTTCCAGGGTAAGCAGCTATGACATTCAGGAAGTTTTTATGAAACATGGATGGGTGTATGTGTGAGTTAGTATTGTGGGTGATGGTCCTGCTGCATGTCCCCGAGCCAGGAGTCTGGGGACGGTGGAAACTCGGGGTAACTTGGGTTGGATCCATTAGAGCTGAGGTCACTGGCTGGACCACCTGTCAACACGCTAACTCCGCCACTTGCTGCTGCTGCAGCTGCAGCTGCTGCCGCCGCCGCCGCCGCCGCTGCTGCTGCTGCTGGTTAAAAAATGACTTTGTATAATAAGTCAAAAATATCGTGGCAGGAAGTTCATAAATAACTCACGCTTGGAGAGGAAACCTAGAAGATGCTTCAGTCCATCCTGGACCATTATCAAGTTACAACTATGTGAGAAAAATCTGGGAAGACAGGTTGGGAAATGGGAGAGAGGAAGAGGGCAATAAAAGTAAACTACCATTAATACTTTTGTAAATATGTATACGTACAGTAGTTGAAACAGTAGTACTGTAGTAATAGAAACAGCAATAGTAATAATAACAGAAGTACTAAACAGAAAAAGTAATAATAGTATTAGTAGCAATATTAATATTAGTAGCCTGAATAGTAATAGAATTACTGTAGAATTAATAGTAACAGAAGTAATGTAATTGAAGTAGTAGTAACAGAAATAGAAGTAGCAGTTGGTAATGGGGGTAATTTACAGATAGCTCCACCCTCTAGCATATGTGCCCAAGGTTCTTGCAAAGAAACACAAAAGATGAAAATGGGAAGACTGCAGTAGGCCTACTGGTCCATGCTATGTGAGAAAGAAGCAAGTAAGGAGGAACTCAGAAGACAGGAAACGTAGAGGACATACAGAAGACAGATCAAGAAAAATAGTTGAGGAGATGGCAAAGGTCGGGTGAGATCACAAGAGTGCGAAAGATTACAACATTTGACAATGCACTAAGAAAGGCAGGCATCTGCCAAGTTCAAAGTTAAATGACAATGAAACTCTGCCTTCTTTCTAATACGTTCATGTTCACTTCTCTGACAGGCTTTTCATTTTCCCATATGCCTTCTGTCAAGGTAAGTGTTTTTGTTTCTCTTTCCCACGCCTTGCACATTTGTGACCCTTAATTTCTTAATTTTGAAAGTGTCACTCTTCACAGGTCATTATCTTGCCTTGCATTTTCATGAACTATTCCTATTTTAATGTTAAACGGACTATCTTCTCTTCTAAACCAACTTCCCATGAAAACCCCAGTACTTGGCCTTCCCTATATTTCCAGTCTACAAAATCTTGCTATTAACCTTGAATTTAGCCAAATTAATACACTTCACAATAATACTTTTTCTCCTGTCACTGATGCTTCCAGTGTCTACTCCATTTCTTGCTTTTCTTACCCTATCCAATACATTGGTGAAACTGGCCACTCTCTGACAGACATTTTGCCATGTTAGAGATCACAGCCATCCTATAATCTGGCCTAATGCTAAAACTATCTACCTCTCTTGTAGCTTTCACAGATGCCACCTTTTTATACAAAACATTCCTAACATGAACCTTTGTCCCAACTTTGTGTAGATACCTGCCTTTCTCAATACATTGTCAAATTGCTCTAATCTTCAGAGCACTTGTGACTTGACCTCAAGTGTTAGCCTCTTGGCCTCTCTTCTGTATATCCTTTACCTTTCCTTTCTTCCAACTCTCTTCTTACTTGCTTCCTCTTTCTCACTAAGCATGGGCCAGTAAGCCTATCACAGAGCACCTTTTTTCTTTTTCTCTGTGAGATCCTTGGAGACTTGTGTTCAGCAGGTAGAAATACCTGCTTTTCCATGCCCTTAAGATGCAATTTATCCCTATTACCTACTTCTATTACTGCTGCTGCCACTATACTACCACCCCTCCCCATGCACCTCGTTCTTCCCAAACTTTCTTTTGGTGTTTTGCTTGTTTTTCTTGATGATCTCTGACTTGATAATGGTTCAGGAGAGACCAAAATGACATATAAGTTAGCTCTTTGTGGGCTATTGCTTAATGACTTGGCAAAAAAAGGGGGGGGGGAATGACCAGTACTAAAAGGTCTTCAGAAATACTCTATAGTTGAATTTATAATAGAAAGAACATATAAAGAGCTCGATGGCTAAAATAACAAAAACATATGAAGCTTTAAATCGAATTAATCAGCCTACTGTATGTGCGAAATGGTTCCAGGAATCATCACTCCCACATTCCGGTCTCTGGCCACGCCTCTACTGGGAGGAAATTCCCATAGGTTAAGAACTAATAAGAAGCTAGAGAAAGTAAATGTGTGTTTTTTAAATAAATTTTAGCAATCATAGCATTAATTATAATCATTAATTAAATGTATAAAAATCTGCAAATAAGATAAAGCCCTGATTTCCTTGATGCCGGTGAGGGGCTGTTAATCCAAGGAACTGGGCTTAATCTCCCCTTTCTTGAAGTGAACCTGAATGCCTCCCATTCCCCAGGTGCATATGACCCCCATAGGTTTAGCGCTTCCCCATAACTAAAATGAAATGAAATTCAAATACTGTACTATATACTGTGCTTGCTTTTTATGATATAAGTTGAAATATGTAATACAAACTGAATTTTTACACATGTGAATACAACTGTGAAGAGTGAGAATCTTCTCTTTATTTTACATAATGAACAATAACAGAAATACATGGCGATAATTCATATGTACAATAATACTGAACCTAACACAGAGGCTATACAATAACTGCAGTATTGCTCTGAATGTGCATTATCTATGTAATATAAAGAGAGAAGATACTAATTATTATTATACAGCACTGGCAAAAAGGGCTAAACCCATATAGTTCAGTGAGCACTGTGGTGGTACCAGTTTCACGTAAGGCTACTGAGTTTGAAAGAACTTGTGTAAGGTCAGATGTCACTTTGATTATCTATCTATATTTTCAGCAATAATTTTTTTCCATCCTTTCCAGACAAGTACTTCCCTACCCCATGAAAAAAGGACATGGAGTATTGATAATGTTGATGATATACATGACAATTTTATAAGCCCTCTCAGCATTTTGGTTTGTTTCACAACACTTGATTTTGTGTAAGAGACTGACTGTTGACAATTATTGAGAGCCTTGTGATAATAATGTCAATCTGTCATGTTAAACAGCCCAAAGAAATTATGCCTTTTTTTTATTTTTTCAATAGAAAACCCTAGCAATACAAGTTTCTGTAAAATATTTCATTAAATGTTAAATATTTTAGAAATAAGTGCCCAGGTGAACTTACTCATGGGTGTCTGGTAGGGCGGTAGAGGCTCTGAATATGGAAATGGAGCAGCCATGGGGTGAGGTGGTACAGGGGCGCTAGGGGAATGTCCGCCCCCTCCTGCCATGTAAGGAGGTGTGCCGGCTCCTGTAAAGTAAGGAGAGAAAACTGTAATACTTCTTTGAAGTGGTAAATTTAAAATTTGTCCTCGAATAATTTTTTTTGGCACCAAAACTCAAGTCTGGCAGTAATTACATAGTCTTGGAATTTTTTCAGTGATTTTATTAAAGGAACCTTTCAATTTGATCAACACCCTGTTACCTGTTTTCATGGGAGCAGAGGGAACTGATCAAGAAGATAGAACAATAATAACAGAAAATGAGGGTTAAGGATATTCAAAGTGACAGTCTTTTTACATCACAGTACTTTCCACACCAGGCATCATAAAGTCCCAGCACTACCACACACTACAGCATCTTCAAGAACCAGCACCACCACCACATTTTTTTTCGGTCACAGGAAAGCGCTAAACCCACAGTGGTCATATAGCACCTGGGGGAATGGGAGGCATTCAGGTTTGATCCAGGAAGGGGGGATAAGTCCAATTCCTTGGATCAAGAGTTCGCTGGCATCAAGATACCTCTCTTGAGGGGACCGCACTCACACTACCATCTTTAAGAACCAGTGCCACTACACAGTAGCATTTTTAAAAACCAGCACCACCACATTCAACACTGCAGAGAACCAGGCCCATGATCTCAGAAATAAAACAGAGAAGCGGCACAACCACACACTGTTGCTTTATAGACAAGTTGTAAAGTGCTACTCATGAGTTGGCATGAAAATAACTTTCACTCCATTCCCTTCTAACAAACTGCTTACACCCAGTCTTGTTCACTACCCCTTCTTATCTTTCATTCTCTATGCTTCCTTGTCACACTGACAATATCTGCCCATCTTTATGGTGTGCTTCTCCTCTTCTTACTCTCAAATTCACTTTAATGCACCAGCTTTGCTCATGTTATCCACTGGTTTAACATGATTTTGGCAAACACTCCTCAAGCTTAAAATTTACTGATATGTGCACAAGGGATGGGACGATGTCAGAATTTTTAATGACGCCAATACCGATACTCCATCCCCTAGTTCTTCGTATATAACTTTGGTTGCTCTGCATTCCTAGCAAAAACAAACAAATCATTTTCTGCTGGGTCCCTGGTTATGTTGATGTTCAGGGCAATAAGCAGGCAGACTCATTGCACAGTCAGCAGTACATGACCTTCCAGTTTCATATAGAGGTAGTCTATTCTCAGACTATTTTGCTGTAATCTCTAACCATCTTTGCAACCATTGGCAACACAGTTGGTCTGATACAACTCAAATTATATTCCATCAAGCCAAGTTTAGGTTTTTGGCCTTCTTATCATTGATGTCAAAGTTGGGAGACTACACTCTCCTGTCTTTGCATCAGGCACACCAGTCTTACCCATGGGTATCTCATGGAGAGGAACCCTGTTCACTGTGAAAATTGTCAAGTTCCAATTTCAGTTTGCCATATTCTATTGGACTGTCCTGTCTTTCAATGAGCATGCAGAATTTACCTCTGATGTCATCACTACTCTAACCCCCCTAACTTTATCTTCCCTCCTTACTGATTGCCCCCACCTTTGACAGAGATTCCCTCTTTGACTTTTTGATAGCAACCAATTTATTACACACACTTTGATAATACAGTGGAACCTCAAATTTCGAACGTATCACTTATCGAACGTTTCAAAAATAGAACCCTTTTTTTGAACCAACTTTGTCCTTATTATCGAACACGCCCCTGTTTTCGGACCGCCGGGTACCGGACCTGTCCGCCAGCCCGCTCTGTCCATGTCCCTGCCCAGGCACCGTGAGCCAGTTTGGCTTTGTTGATGCTTGAGTGAACACTAACCTGTGCTCTCATTCAAGCATTTTACTATTATTTCATTGTGTTTAGTGCTTGTGGGACTGTAAAATAAGCTACCATGGGCCCAAAGAAACTTGCTAGTGGTACCCCTGTGATAAAGAGAGTGAGAAACACCATAATAGTGAAGAAGGAAATAATACAGAAATATGAGAGTGGTGTGAGACTTACTGAGCTTGCCAGGATGTATGGGAAAAACAAGTCGACCATTGGTTTCATCTTGGCAAAGAAAGAACAAATCAAGGAAGCTGATGTTGCGAAAGGTGTTAATATGCTAACCAAAAGAAGACCACAAATAGTTGAAGAGGTTGAGAAGTTGTTGCTGGTGTGGATCAAGGATAAAGAGATGGCAGGTGATAGTGTTTCAGAGACGATTATTTGTGAAAAGGCAAGGAAATTGCATGCCGATCTGGTACAGAATTTATTATTATTATTATAATCAAAAAGAAGTGCTAAGCCACAAGGGCTATACAGCATCCAGGAACCAGTTCAGTGACACAACCATGTCCCATTTTAGGGAAATGTTAAAGAGGCACCAGAAACAGAGGACTGTGGACAGTTATTTTGTGAGACAGGGGCCCATCACTCTCAAGGTGGTCCTAGTGGCATTAAAAGACAGAGAAGGGAAGTAACCCCAGAGAGGGCTTTACCTGAAGTTCTCATGGAGGGGGATTCTCCTTCCAAACACTAACCCCAACTCCCTCTCTCCTCCTCCCTATCTTCCAGATGCCATCACCAATTTTCAATAAAGGTAAGTAAAAATGTTATTTTATATTTATATACATAATTGAACACTATAGTATATGTTGCGTGTATGTAACTCTGTAATTAATTTCTATAAAATGTATTTTTTGTGAATATTTTTGGGTTTCTGGAACGGATTAATTGTATTTCCATTATTTCTTATGGGAAATATTGCTTCAATTTTCAGACTTTTAGAATTTAGCACTAGCTCCTGAAACGGATTAAGTTCGATATTTGAGGTTCCACTGTACTTCTTTGCACTCCTTACAGCTCTTTCTAACTCTACCTCTGTTATCCTCTCCACCCCTGGCTACTCTCTGCTTCAGCAACACCCCTGTCCTGCAGTGCTGTATGACTCTAGTGGGTCATACAGCACTGCACTTGGTTTTGATTATAATCATAATACTGATACTCAGATTTAGATCGATACTGATACCATAAAAATTAGCTGATACTCACCAATACAGATACCGATACTTTGATAATGATAATGCTTTATTTCCATAAGCATACAGATAATGTCGATACATGAGTAGAAACATGAGTAAAATAGTAGGCACAAAGAAAGCCACTAATTATGCAATACATTTCATGCAACTAATCATAAGGCTTACCAAACTGCTTAAGAACTGACAATAGCATTATGCAGGACTATTTGTGTAGTTAAAATACACTCATACACTCAATAAGAAAGGTAGCTAATGACAAAGTGGTCAATTATAAAACATTTACATATTATTTAAACTGGTTCATTGATCTTCAGGTTTATGGTGTAAGTGAACTGACACCATAAGTGAGTGAAATTACAGCAAGTTAGTTAAATTACAATACAAATCTAATGGGACAATATATGTTACCAATTCTATATGAGAACTGAAGGAAGGCTGGAATAAGAATATGAACGTAAGTCAATGAGAACAGGTATTGTTTGACTAGCTAATTGGTGTCTGGACTACATTAACCCTTTCAGGGTCCAAGGCCCAAATCTTGAGTCACGCACCAGTGTCCAAGAATTAAAAAAAAAAAAAATTGTTATTTTTTCTTATGAAATCGTAGAGAATCTTTTTGTGAAGGTAATAAAACAAAAAGTACGAAATTTGGTGGAAAATTGACGAAATTATGCTCTCGCGAATTTTGATGTGTCAGCGATATTTACGAATCAGCGATTTTGCCGACTTTGACTCCCATTTTAGGCCAATTACATTATTCCAATCAACCAAATTCTTAGCTATTTCACTAGTATTACTTCTATTCTATCGATTGAGCACAAGAAATCGCAAGTCAAACTGTTTCAACTACAAAATAAAGTGATCAGAAATTGTTAATTTGGCCCAAATTTTAACACAAAGTTCAAAATATTCCAATTTCAAAATAGGGTCCAGAATGAACAATCTAGGCATTCCTGGCACTAAATAACATTTCCTCTGTTCATTAGTTATATTTTGAGGCTTTACAATAAATTCCATTTTGATTTTTTATTCACATAATGAATTTTTATTCACACCAAAAAATAGAAGATTTACTGTTATGCAATACTGTATAATTGTATAAATATCATCACCATATTTGTGAGAATGTATATTAGACCCACCAGCTGACGTGTATTAGACGTGTGAGGTCGTTTGTTTACTCTTGAATATCGGCAAAAATTTAACATTTCTGCTACTTTGAGCTCAGTTTCAAGCCATTTCCAGTGCTAAAACAATCAAAATCATCTCTATTTCTGTAATATGTCTTCCATTCTATCAAATGAGACCAAGAAATCGCAAATACAACTATAAAAAACATACGAAAAAACACTGCAAAGTTGCTGTTTTAATCGAAAAATCATGATTTCATTTTTTTTCTCTCATTATACACAGTGTGCTGCAGGATCTGTTTTATGTGGTGCACACATACCACATAGATGTATTCTCTCATATCTAGGCCCAAATGTACCACTCACAGTTTATCAGAGTGAGCTGAGCTCATGGCGTAGATCTACGGTTTGGACCCTGAACGTAAAGCCGTAGATCTACGGGACGGACCCTGAAAGGGTTAAGAAGATGGAATGCTTTTTAACAATAGCTTTGAAGCGACTGGCTAGTAGGGGACATTTAGAGACTTCAGGCCAGAGATCAGTGTTTGTGTATATTTCGCATGCTCTCGCGAATTCCTTGCATTGTTCAAATCTCTAGTAAGGCTGATGCATGCAGGGGATGAGATGAAAAGCTGTAAGCCTTCTCCCTGAAAGCTGGCTGCCTTGGATCAAACGTGTAGCGCATGCTACACGCCAAGGTATTGTCCAGTGTGGGTAGATTGGTAAAGCACTGCGTACCTTGTCCTAAGGTTCGTAGGTTCGAGTCTCCTTCAGCCAGAGATCAGTGTTTGTGTATATTTCGCTGCTCTCGCGAATTCCTTGCTATATATATATTATATATTATATTATATATATATATATATATATTATATATATATTTATATTTATATATATATATATATTAAGCACAGTGTATGGTGTATACTGAGCAAGTTTAAATATTGAAGAATGGGGGACTGTGTTGTTTGGCACTGGATTAAGTAAAATTCCTACAGCGGCTTTTTATTGAGTTATTATTGCTGTTAGGTGGAGACCCTTAAGATGCACTTTAATCTTAATATACATTCTTTAATATTCTAGGTAGTAGGTTGGTAGACAGCAACCGCCTAGGGAGGTACTACCTGCCAAGTGAGTGTTAAAACGGAAGCCTGTAATTGTTTTACAAGATGGTAGGTATTACTGGGTGTCTTTTTATTCTGTCTCATAAACATGCAAGATTTCAGGTATGTCTTGCTACTTATACTTACACTTAGGTCACCTACACATACATGTACAAACGTATATATACACACCCCTCAGAGTTTTCTTCTATTTTCTTTCTAGTTCTTGTTCTTGTTTATTTCCTCTTACCTCATGGGGAAGTGGAACAGAATTCTTCCTCTGTAAGTCATGGTGTTGTAAAAAGGCGACTAAAATGCTGGGAGCAAGGGGCGCTAGTAACCTTTCTCCTGTATATATTACTAAATGTAAAAGGAGAAACTTTTGTTTTTTTTCTTTTGGGCCACCCCGCCTCGGAGGGAGGATACAGCCAGGTGAGTTTGAAAGAAAGAAAGAACTTTATATATCTCCCTAACAAACACAGCTTTAGGAGTAGATCCCAATTCTTGTTTTTTTCAGGCTTGTGTTTACATCAGAGTTCCATTTTCCCTATACGTTGGAACAACCATCACTTCATGGGCTCAGCTCTCTAGCTACATCCCCTCACCACTGTACAGTTCTTATTTGTATATCTAGGGCTTCTTTCATAAAATATCTTTGATAAAGTCCAGAACAAAGAGGATAAAATGTTAATATTTTTTTCCATTAAAATGGCTGACTGAGGTAGTTCTTACATGGATGAAGGTGTGATGAGGGGGCCTGGGTGTGTTCGTGGACCAAGGTGACGGGTCATAGCTTTTTGTCCTGGCTCCAGGTCTAGTGGGGGACCCTGCGTGCGGTAACCATCAGGCATCTCTTATGATCATGTTCATATCTGTAAAGGAAAAAATATCACTGTTAGTGAAACATCACCACAGAATCTTATTGTGATGTATTTACTTATAAAAAAAAATTCTCAGTATAGGTTACAACTGTATACAGTACTGTATGTTCTCAAGTAATGGACTCTTAAGTATTTTATTTATCAAGGTCCTTTCCTATACAATATACAATATTGACAATAAAACCATACTTAATATAAGGTTTTGTTTTATTTCTTAAAAATCCAGAATATTACTAGAGGGCAGATGTTAATTGCTACATGGGTTTAACAGCTTGGTATGAATATAATAAGAATACTATATGAATGAGATTGAGAAAAAGAATGAATGATTGAACCCCATAGTAAATAGATAATATAGTCTTTATCTATACTAATAATTATACAATGGAGTATAACCTGTAAAGGTTTTGGGGTCTATGCCCCCACTGCTAGTTTGAGTCCAGGCCTCGTGGTGGATACAGGGTCTGATCAAACCAGGCTGTTACTGTGGGGGGGGGGGGGCCACATGTAAACAGAACATGAGAACCACAGCACTAAAAGTCAGGTACTGATTTTAGGTGTCTGTCCAGTGCCTCTTTTTAAAACAGCAGGGTCTATTGGTTCTCCCCCTATAATGTATGCTGGGAGGTAGTTGAACAGTCTTGGGCCCATGACACTTACTTGTATGGTCGTATGATAATACTAATAATTTATTTCTTACAAGTAGATAATAACAACTTATACGACATAGCCAAACATCATGACATTATATGAAAGCCCCATGTTATGCAGACCATTTCGGGGCAAATTAGGTTAAGGAAAGCAACCAAGGTTTCCACCAGTACTGGGAATCCAAAACCACAGACTCAATGTGTAAGCGAAGTACCTACGGACTGAGCTAAGGCTCTAATATTTGCTGAAAAGTTAACTTGCAAACCACAAGTGCTAACAACTTGAGATTGTTTTCACCATTCACCGGGATGGCTTGCCCCCCCTCCACGTCTCATAGGAAAGAGGCGTGCCCTGTTGATGGTGACATGACTTTATTTAAGATACACATGTTGGTAGTTAGATATTATTATTGTTTGCCAATAGTTGCTTTTAAAACACTGGTGGTCAAAACATCTCAATAAATGTTCCTAATTACTCGCATAGCTATTGGGCCGTGGGGACCGTGCCTGAGACAGTAGCTCCTGATTGAGTTGATTTGGCCGGCGTGTTGACGTGTACTTGGCTCTGTGAAGATACTGTTTGCGCGCTTCTCTAGAATTGAAGCAAGATGCCCTCCATCGAGCAACCTTTACCCAACAGCTTTAAGGAAGAATTGAGGTTGGACACGAATTTGGAAATTCGAGCGATTGACCGAAGAGAGAACAAGAAGATTCGTAGTAAGAATAAGATAAGATAAGATAAGATTTTGTTCGGATTTTATACCCCGACGGAATGTGAGATGACTACTGGGAACGACACGACGAAAGACATTAAGGAAGGTAGAATATTGTTGTTGTTTGGGGATGCCAAGTTAGGGTATAGGATAGGGCGTTTGCTTGAAGGGACAGGAGTAGGAGACAGGAGAGTTTGCTTTCCTGGGGCTGGGATGGAGGTATATGTTAGCCGTCTGGATGACATCATGAGAGGTAATGGAGAAGCAAGTCCTATTATCTGTCTCAGTGCTGGAGGCCACGATGTTGGCTGACGTAGGAGTGAGGACCTGACTAGCTGAGGTATAGCGTCAGAGCATAGAATCATTAGAAGTAAGGGTGGCGAAACCCTCTCTATGTGGTATTTTGCAAGGAGGGAGGTTGGAAGTGATGGTTGTCCAGGGCAAATTGGTGTCAAATGTGAGTGGGACAATTACCTGTAATGGAAAATGCGGTAACATTTCATGACAATGGGACCTATTATGGCGGAAATGAATGTATGCTAGGGAATGGGGTTCACTTATCTAGGTGTGGGGTGATAGGGAAGCCACTGGCAACTGCAGTGGAGGGAGCAGTTAGGACTTTTAAATAATAGGATTAGTTAGTGGTATGGGTTTGGCGCCAGGAAACATGAAGTCCAGTTAGTAATATTACGAGTTCTAGGGGAACTAGTAATAATAAGAACGAGATAGATATTGCAAAGCAGGGAACTTGGGTGATAAGGGACGGTAATAGGTTTTGTAGAAAAATAGAAATGAGCAGGCGAAGGTAAAGAGAAAGGAGAGTCTTTCTAATGTTTATTATGCTATTGCACGTAGTGCTAGGAATAAGAATGGACGAGTTAGAATAGTTGATAGTGTAGGTAAACATTTGATGTATTGCCTTAATCTGAGAAGTGGTTTATTCAAAAAGTGGGACATGCCTGCGGAATGTACCTATTCAGGGTTTTTTAAATTGCTCCAAGAAGATAGACAGTATTGGGAGGGGGGGGTTGGGTGGGTGCATTGTATGGTCCGAGATCGCTTGTTGAACCTGTTGAATAAAAAAGGGTGTATTAAGTCTGAAGTAACACATACAGAGTATGTTTGGATTTGATTTTCAGAGGGGGCTTGAAAAAATTATTTTAGGAGTGATATACCGTACCCCCTAACTTGATAGGGACCAAGGGAGGAAAACTACTATGGGAGGAATATTGTTAAGGCCACAAGGCACGATATGTAGGTAATTTAGGAGACTTTAACTGTTGGTCATGTTGATTGGATTTTTTGACTGGGAATTTAGAATCGTCGATTCTTAGGAAGTATTTCAGGATGTTTTTTGATGCAGTTTTTGACAGAACCTACAAGGGGAAATAACCTGCTTGACTTAGTTATGTGCAAACAATGATCCCTTGTTAATAATTAGAAATTTCAGAGGAATGGGTGCTAGCGACACAAATCAATTACATTTAGCATTGAGGAAGTAGATAGTAGCGAATAACTCAGTTAAACAGTCCAGATTTTCGCTCCTTAGCAGAATTACGTTGGCTTAGAGAAAACTATATCTGTTGATGGGGTAAGGAAGAGAGATATCAATATAGACAGATTTTTCTGAAACACTATACATGCTGCTCAAACGAGCGTTTATCCATATTAAAGAAATTAGATCAAATAGAAATGACCTCCAAAATGGATCAATGAATAATAGGCTACAAGTTAATCTACTAGTGCATAAGAAGGATTTATAGGCGTGATCAAAAGAGGTGAGGTCATCTTATGAATCAGTATATTGACATTAAAGAGGACATAAAAGGGGATAGAAAAGCTAAAGGGACGATGAAATTAAAGTTGCTAGGGATTCAAAAACTAACCAAAAGTTTTGTCAAGGTCTATAGAACAAATAGTTTTAGAGAAAAGATAGGTCCCTTAAAAATTACTATGGGCACACCTTACTGGACAATGAGAATGAAAGTGCGTGATTTTAAATAATTATTTTCTCTCAGTTTTTTACACAGGAAAGACACAACAATATTCAGTAATTAATTTTTACAGTGGCATAGAAGAGATAAATTATGTAAATCACGAGTCACTAGTGAGTTGGTTGTGAGGCAGATAGACAGACTGAAGCAAAATAAGTGCCGGGTCTGGATGAGGTGTTTTTCAAGGGTTCTTAAGGAATGCAAAAGGAAACTCTGTTTGAACCATTAAATAGATATTTTTAATTTATTCTCTTTCAAACAGGTGTAGTGTCTGATATGTGGAAGAGGGCTAATGTAAACTCCTATTTTTTAAAAACAGGGGAAAGTCGTTACCGCAACATTACCGCCAATAAGCCTGGACCTCAATTGTCAGGGCAAATTATAGAGTCAATTATAGCTGAGATTATAAGAAAGACATCTCGATTAAGCATTTAGCTTGATTAATGTACTCAGCATGGATTCACAAGGGCCGGTCTGGTCTAAACTAATTTATTAACTTTCTTCAGTAAGCTTTTGTGGTGTTGACCACATAAAGAATTTGATATTAATTTACTTAGATTTTAGTAAGGTCATTTGAGTTAGAGTTCCGCACCATAGACTGTCTTAAAGAAAGTGGCTCAGCTCATGGCTATTGGGGGCGAAAAGTTGCTCTGTGGATCGGAGTCATGCTCCTGACAGGAAGCAGAGAGTGTCAATAAATGGGTTTAATCCGAGTGGGGATCTGTAACAAGTGGCAAAAGTTACACACGATACAGTCTTGGGGGCCCGTTGTTGTTTATTATAAATATCAATGTCTTGTGATGGGAATTACTCAGTGATCATGAGCAAATTCGCAGATGGACACAAAGATAGGTAGGGATAATTGATTCAAAACGTAGATGTTAGGAACTTAGGGAGGATTTAAACAAACTCTATTTCTGGTTCAGAAAAGGTGGCAGATGCAGTTCAATGTTGATAAGTGCAAGGTTCTGAAGCTTGGGACCGTGCCCATAAACCATAGTACTTATAATTAAATGATGTAGAAGATCTTAGCCATACAGATTGCTCGAAATGG